GAATTAGACTTGGTTTAAGTATGTTAAAGAGAGCAGAATAGCGCGAATTAGACTTGGTTTAAGTATGTTAGGAGAGAGCAGAGTAGCGTGAATTAGACTTGGTTTAAAGTATGTTAAAGAGAGCAGAATAGCGCGAATTAGACTTGGGTTTAAGTATGTTAGAGAGAGCAGAGTAGCGTGAATTAGACTTAGTTTAAGTATGTTAAAGAGAGCGGAATAGCGTGAATTAGACTAGGATAAAAGTATGCAAAATGAAGCTGAGGACTTTGTGAAAAAATGCGAAGTTGTTTGCTGTTCTAATTGTATGGGTTTGGAGATGTTTTTGGCTTGGATTAATAACAGGCAGGAAGCGCGAGGAAACGCAGCGAATATGGACGCGTACGCGGAAGGTGACGGCGGAGGAAGCGCGGATATGGAGGTGAAAATGGTGAAGGTGATGGCGCGAGGAAGGTGACGGCGCATGGGTGTGAATATGGAGGTGATGAAAGGTGACGGGAGGAAACGCATGATGTATATGACAAGTTGGTGTCGTACTTAAGCGGAGCGCGCGCTGTGCATGTATGAAGGTGTCGAAGGTGTTCATATTGCCTAAGACGCGTACGTGCACATGTCATGTCGCATAGGAAGCGTAGGTATGGTTGTGCAAGTCGTAAATGGCCACTTTGGTGGTTTAACATTGTTTCCAGGCCGCGTATGCGCAAATATGGGGTGCGGCGGCTATCTGCACTGCTGTGTATGAAGGTGTCGGTCTGTGTGGGGTTCCTATCGGAGAGAATACGTATGCTGCGTTGTAGGAGTGAGCTGCTGGCCACACGTTTGTATTGGAGTGCGCCACACCACCCCCCTTTTTGTTTTGTTACTATATAAAGTGTAGCCATCCACCCAGCCAATTCTGAGGGCCAGAAGGGGTATTGGGGGCCATCGTGTGCAGTCTATGGCACGTATGTGGACATGTGAGTGTGTAAATGTGTTGTACCAATGTATACGAGTGATAAACCCTAATAGGCGTGTCGGTCAAAGTCAAATGTAGACGGCCATCTTAGGCTGAAAGCACCATCTCCCGTCTGCTCTGTGAAGTTAAGCAGCCTCAAGCTCGGGTAGTACTCGGGTGGGTGACCACCGGGGAAGTCCGGGTGCTGTCTACTTTTTAGCCCGTTTTGAGCTGTTTACCGACTTTGCGTGTGTTTGCAAACGCAAGATATGATGTCTGGCATGTGCCCACACGACATCTTGGTTTTAGTATGCCTGGCGAGCCACTACACACGAGATCTTGTTTTTTGTATGGTGTTCTTTAATTTGATTATTATGAAGATGAAAGAGAACCGTTAGAACGGGTATGAAGGGTGTTCTAGGGGTGCTTTTCGGTGCTCTTTCACGTGGACATATCGCAGCATGCGACATGTCAGCGGAACACTGTCTAAATTAATAAATACTGTTTTGGCCGATTTCTAAAAGCGTCTATAAAAGGGCATAAGTGCAATGACTCGTCTTTGTAACCCTGCGGCCTAGGCGTAGTTTTTCACGGGGAATCCGAATATCAAAGGTAGATTTATGTACAACATGTACTTTTTTTGCAACATGTACTTTTTATCTACGGGACATAGACATACGTAAAAACACACGGCGGAGCCGTTCCCGCAATCAGAATTTGTCTAACTCTTCTAGATCAAAAGTTATTCAGCGAAATGTGAGACTTTGTTTGGCATGCTCTTTTTTTAGGTGGTTTTTTCCGGTTTTATGTGCCGCCCGGCAGATCTGGCCTGCAGACTTTAGCAGAAAACTTGGCGCATGTGTTCGCACGACCGCTCCCAAAGTTTTACAAGCATATCTCCAGTAGTTGCTTCGCAATGATTTTTTTAGTGACGCCAAAAAACGCCATTTTCGCGGAAAATGGACACCTTGGACGGCCAAAATCACCACTTTTGGCCATGGTTGGCCCTGCACATCCAGGAAGCAAATGAGACTGCTCCGTATAAAAACTGCCCTAGGGGGTGCTTTTATGCGCGCATTCCCGTGTCAAGTCAGATTTTGGGCTAAATTCAAATGCCTTGTCTATAAACACTTTTTTCGACCTAAATTTTCACCTGTTTTGTCCCGAAATGATAGCACCCCATTCTTTATTTGCCTATATATCGGCGAAGGAGGCAACTTTTTTTCCTGTAGGGATAGATGAAAAATTTTAGTTCTGGGGTTTTAGCGGACGGTGGAGAAAAGGTCCCAATACAAGCTACCCCTCCGTTTCCTGATGGATTTTTTTGAATTAAGGAAATAGATGGAACTACATATATTGCCTGGGTTCAGAGTAGTGCCCAGAGTGTTTGCAACAGCATCTGCATTAGTTATCCGC